AGAGTAATGAATAACATCTTAATAACAATCTTAAAAACAATAAACTTGATCATCGTTTCCTAGTCATAAACTTTATGATTTATATATATATATAAGTACTGATATTTTTATACGGTAATGATATAGAAATCAGTGTAACAATTTGCCTTGTTACATGTTGCTGAGTGACTGTTATAAACAGTACGCACACAGACTTTTTCTAAATAGTACTGAGGACTAATATTAAAAATAAAAAATAAAAAAAGCTATAAATGTTTTACTTATGGCCAATTTCATTTTCTTTAAAGACAAATTTAACGGTGGCCAGAATCGTAAAATTTTTCCTTTTTTGGAATGACTTTCTGATACATCTTCAATTGGACCAGGGGACTTTTCCACAGCCCCAAAAATAATAACTGGACTTAGTGTGAAAAAAAGGGCTGCTGTTGTTGTTGTTGTTGTTAGCCCCAAAAGAAATAACTGGACTTAGTGTGAAAAAAAAGGGCTGTTGTTGTTGTTGTTGTTGTTGTTGTTGTTGTTCCTGATCTGTTCTGTTTTGTATTTACCCAGCATTTTCATTGGGTGTGATGATGTCACAGGTAGTATGTATGTAATGGTGAGTGAATGTATGGGTCAATGAATGGAGGAATGGCTTGACATTGACATTTAGCGGGACGTCGGGGGTGTGCGTAGGCCAATAATCCCAGCTCATGTGCTGGAGAATCAATGTTAAAAATTTAATTTTGCATATATATTTTTTTTCCACTAAGAGTTTAGCAACACACAAGCATGTTGTTTGTAGGCACATACATATATACATACAGTGGTGATGCCCCCATGGATGCAGGGTGGGTAACCTCTCATGTATGACACATCACAACAAACCAACACAAATCAATGGCCTGAAGGTATCAACTCATCTTTGATTGGGCCAAATGACACTTTGAGTTGTGGTCAGTCTGTGTCAACACCTACTGTATGTTACCATCATGAATAGTTGAGCTTAGACAAAAGAAAAAAAACCCCAAAAGAACATGGACATTTCTGATAGGGGCACACATTGAAGGTCATAGGTCGACCTGTTCAAGTTTGTCCTCATTGGCCAGTACAGTTATAGAGCCACTGAAGCAGATTTTGGTATCTCAAAGTCAATCTTATCCTTTCATAAAACAAAATGATCCAATCCGCTCATCTAGATTGGCTCTTAAACAGTTTTTAAAAGCTGCACTTTGAGAAAGAAATCGCAAAGTTTATAAACAACAAAAGTCAGCCATGATCTGTGCTGGTTTGGAGAACAAAGCTACCATGAAGTAATCTGCCTCGCTGCATGCCAGGATATCTAACAGAAAGACACACCTCTGTTTACTGATCATGTTCCTTTGCTTTTACGAAAATAGAATTTATGCAATGGTGAAAATAAGAGGGTGAGTCACTGCCTTTATCAATGACTTTGAAAAAGAAATAGTAATTTAAAAAGCAAAAAAAAAAGAAAGAAAGAAAGAAAGAAAAATAAACAACTGATTTAATTGGGAAATTTGGGGGAAAGACCTTTTGTGCATCATCACAATAACACTATAGTTTTTAATTGTGAAGAAGGTTTTTAAATGTCACACTTACTTCCATGACTTGCAGTCTTATTGTACATAACAAGCCAAGGTGTGAACAAGAAAAATTCTTATACTATTTTGATCTAGTTTCATCAATGTCACTGTAAAATAATAATAATAATAATAACATCAGTGGTTCTCAAATGATTAAATCTTGTCTGAGTCTTTCCGGTTTATCTCAGCTATCAAATTAAGCAAAAAGTAGGGATTTCCTGCAGGACTTAAAAAGTTATAAAGACTTCATTATGTAAATAAAATCTTAATGTCAGAAATCCCATTTTATTCATTAGTAATTAATGGAATATTTTCCTTTTTTTGTGTAGAAATAAGCTGAGGTGTTGACAGGATTGTCGTAGTTTCTTTGTTGAACTTGTCAATATTGGTACATGTCCCTCCGAGCCACCATTTGAGAAACACTGCTACAGATTCAATGTAAAAACAGATGAAAACATATGAATGTAGAAACATACTTAGTAATCAGGACATTATCTCAAACTTATGATATGTGCTTTAACAGGTAAAAATGTGAGTGAATCAAACAAAGAAATGCATGAAAAAAACCATGTATAAACAACATATAAAAAATTGCACAATTAAAAGCCGTTCCCTACCGGACCTACCGTACTCTCTACGCCCCCCAGCTAAGCTACGGGCGCCTACAATGTAGGGGAAAAAGAAAAGGAAAACAAACAAACAAACAATAAAAAAAAAGAAAATATAAAAGCTTAGTAGGAAAACAAAGGAGATTTTCAGGGTCAAAGTAAATATAATATATCGTAGATCGATGCCATGTCAGACCCATGCTCTGTGTCTGGTGTGTTTGTATGTAATCTTCAAACAAGCTACGTCATGCTTTGAGTTACTGTCGTCTTAGAATGCCAAGGTAAAGCTATGACCCCCATTTTACCGTTTCCATGAACATTGTAAACATTTTATTTTGTTGTTTTATATCAATTTTTATGAAAATACATAAGGCCAATAAAAGTTGTAAATTAAAAGTCACAAAAAACATCACAATACGCAGTAAAGCATCACATGTCACATCTAATTTTTTTTTTTTTTGAAAAACAAAATAATAAAATTCTAAGAAAGCAGGCTAAACTCTGAATTTGAACGTGTCGTCACAAAATCTGATTCGCTGTACAATGCAGTCTGAGATCCCTGAAAAATTGCAACGTGACATTTTCTCTGCAAGAAACATGGAATTAATTCAGGAAAATAACACATAGGTAGAAAATGATTTATATATTTAAGCAGTGATACAGGTTTAGACAAGATCAGACTCCATCCAGAGACCCTGTCCTTAGAACTGGACATCACAGAGTTGGCACAGTTGTTGCTTTAGATCTCTAGGTGACAACAGACTCTTCACCAGAACAAAAACAAAAATAAATAAATAAATAAAATGAATAAATAAAAGGATATTGATAACATATTTCTCTTCATCCTAAATAAACATTTCTGACTTTTCCTTCAAACATATGGTTCCGTGGTTAAAAAAATAGATGCAAATACCCATTGTCCTTTTGATGTGAAGTATTTTTCTAGCAGTTGTCCCTTTAAAATAATTCTATACCATGTCTGCATTTTTTTTTTGCTACATTCAGACTTCTTTTCCAGAAGAGCTATTTCTTTGGGCTAAAAAAAAATATATATATTAAGAATCTACCCAGGGTTTTACCTGTGTCTAGTTGTAGCACTTGAGCGATTCTGACCTGGACCTATTAGAGTATAAATTATAAATCTATTTTGCTCCCTATGAATTTTGAAATTATCTTATCTTCCTTTTAACTATATTCCCAGCATTAAGCGTTTTTCTTCTTTTTTTTTTCAACATTTACCTTTATATGAAATTATATTTATCCTTTAGCTAAATTTAGATTTTGGTGACTGATGTCACTGACAACAGCAAACACTTACTTTCCAGAGCCTGGTTAGTGAAAACCGGACCGTTGGCCCATTGTGGTGTGAGAATCTGACTAAAAGGCATAAATGATGGGAAGGTCGTGGTCGAAGTGGATGGGTTACTTTGTTGTGCTTTAAATTCATTGATTAAAACGTATTGCCTGTGTATAAGCCTCACAATTAGGGGGAGCTGTAAATTTACTGATAAATGTATTCCCACAAAAAAAAAAAAAATTACACATGTGGATGCTACGTACTGATAAATGTATTTCCACAAAAAAAAATTACACATGTGGATGCTACCGGGCAGAATGTCAGGAAACTCAACAACCAGTGTTGTGGATGCTGTTAGCGAGAACAAAATCAACGACTGGGTTTTGGCACAAAACCAAGTTTTTCTTAGCGTTAAATGAGATAAAAATGATTTCTTTTAAAGGGCCACAGATATCTTCTCAACGCATCGCTGTTCCTGACACTGAACTGATAATATTCAGATGGCATTAAAGTATAACACACAGCTTGCATAGAACAAATGAATAAAGATTGGAGACATCATGATTGGCCAGTCTTCAGCACCTTTAAGTTACTTAGCATTCAGTGGGAACTGGTGTTCAATAACGAGGCAAAAATACGATGATGAGCCTTTTCTTCATTTTTGTCTCTTCCCGTAAACACACACACACGTACGTGTGTGTGTGTTTATTTATATAGTAAAATGGTTGAATGCTGTCACAGTCATATGCCTTTGACATACAGTAATTATAATTTACACCAGCCTTTTGACTGGTCTTCAGTTAGGGTTTATAACAACTGAAAACGCTGTATTGCAAATGTGGAAAACAACAACAAAACATGAACAGCTTATTCAATGTCGTATGCACTATACCTGAATCTCAGCTAGATTTATGGAGTTTCTGCAAAATGTAAACAGGGCAGCAAGCTTTGTTATAGTCTTCCCTTCAGGTTATAAGGGGAACTGCAGTATGCTTCTGGTAATTTTTGCTCAGGTACGATCTGAAAGACGAGTATAGGATGACGCTACAGAAGTAACGATGAAGGGAAAATCGGCCTTTAACTTTGATCCTTTTTTTTTTAAATAAATATATTTTGTGTGCCACTTCATCTCCAAAAACTGTCTTTTGGTCGTGCAAAGAATGAAGTCGATCAACTCTCTACTTGGACAGAGAAGATGTATCCTCTCCTTTTTGCACAATTCACATCTCAGGCAAGGCTCTAACACACAAAGGCTCTCTCTGCGGTCGTGTGGTGAAGTGATCGTCCAACGTTTAGTGCTGTCTTGTGGTAGACCTCACATCCAAAGATAGAGCTCTGTATTAACTTTGGTTCTCCATTGTGGTCGCAATGGGACAGTAGAATGGATGAGAGGTTGAGGCAAATGCGGGTGACTCATGGAAAACCTAAACTGCATGAATTACAGACACAATGATGAAGTCGGCCAAACGTAGCGGATGATTGAGGCTCAGATCTGTTCAGGTTCAACAGGAGCCCAGCTAAGCCATCACTAGTGAGGCGGTGTTAGTACATTCATCGGTACTATTCTGCTCCTCTGGGGACCTGTCAGAGAGGTAGAGGCCCTCAGTGGCTCTTGATTGTCAATGTAAAGGGACCAATGTTTCTCTGTTATCTTTCAGCAGTGATGAACCGCCCCAGCATGAACGTTATCACAGGCAATTACCAGCGAAATGCGACGTTTGAAAGAAAGGTGACTATCGCAAAATTTAGTCCAAAGACGCTTTTATTAAATAAGTTCTTTTTAGGCCCCCACTTTTTGGAAAAGAAACATGAATTGATAGGCAAGACATAACTTCAAGTCACCACTGCACAAAAAACAATAGTGGAAACACTGGCGTATGGGATACTTATTTCCTCATGAGGTTGTGCAAACATCAGAGAAGATGGAGGACACAATGAGCTGTATGGGGGCAGACCTCGACGGCTGGGAAAAAGTGCTGTGTTTGGTTTATAACCACATCTACGTTAGCGCTCCTTAGCGCTTCAACACAGTATGTTTACAACTGTGAACAGTACAAGTATTTGAATATAGTATTTATATATACAAAATGGTACATTTATACACATATACAGTTTGAACATGAATGCCTTTTTGTGCAAGAACGAACTGAAGCCAATGCATTCACTGTCAACTCCCTTGTTGTTTTGTTCTCAATTTGCCACTAAATAGGAGGTTGTTGTAAATAATTTTAAGCAGATGTCAAACACCGTCTCAACAAATCCTAACGACAGCATTGGCAAGGCTTTTATGGAGAACAGGCCTATTGTATTACAGTTCTGGGCAGATTCCTATAGGGTTAGATGTTTTCTGAATGCTTATTTAACTTTAACTGGCTGTGGCATGATGAATGTGATGGTAGAACAAATGCTTTGATATGAAAAACTAAAGATGTGCATAAATAACTGAATCTTTTTCAATACATTCAATAAAAAACTAGGGTTATAAAGTTATTCACAGTATTTATTCAGTATTCTCGGGTGCTTTAGATAATGTTTCTACGTGATGAGAAACTGGAATGAACATGAGCTTCAGCTATTCAAATTAAGTGGCAAAAACAGGCCAACTTATTCATCTCCTTCAAAAGGATTTTTCTTCTTTTTTTCTATCGTTAGAATCCAGTCAGTCATGTCCATATGGGTCCACATGGGATGGATGAAAGTGGACATGTTGACATGGTTTAACCCCTTTCCTATTTTGTACCCACTCCAGTCCTGCAGAAATGCTGACAGAGAGGACGTCGTTATTTCCAATCAGGTTTTTGGGGACTTTGTTTTAAGGACGGGCGTTTAAGAGTTTTGAGAGAAAAATGCTGCTCTGTTGGCACTTTAGGATCATCGACCACATTTCCTCACACATTCTCATGTCACCTCATTCTGGTGTGAAACTCACTGTTCTCATTTACTCCCTAGCCAAGCAAGACATTTGTTTAATGACCATTTTAACCCAGCCAAGTGGTGACAGACGCTGTGTCTGCATAGAATAAAGGGACTTCTAACAACAGTGGACGTCAGGTTTCTACCCTGGCTCCCTCATCTCAGTGTATCAAATGTAATGATGGGAATGGTTAGAATGACATGGACAGGTATGACATTGGCCCACTGGTGTACTTTCTGCTCCATAGTTCTAGACTAGCGCTCCTGTGACCACCTGTGTGGGCACCTGAGTCTGGCTGCTTGGGGGTCTTTTGTTTTTTAATGATCTCCCACGGGAAGTCCTCTATTGGAAGTGGGCTGGCGGGGCTGCCTGACCCTTCTGGAGTGCTTTCAGGTGTTCCCTCAATTATTTCAATCCGCGGTGGATTCATTAGATCCAATATACTGAAGGGCGCTGGCTCTGGTTGGCACATCACTGACTTGTCTGATGAATTCTGTTGGAAGGACCAACTTGAGCCAGCTTGAATTCCAATGGACACTCTGTCTTCTGTTTGTGTTGTACTGTCACTGCAGGGCTCTCGACACAAGGTCCACATGTTGTAGCACTGAGTAAAGTTGAAGAAGTTGCTGTTAAAAGTTTTTAATTCCCCACAAACATCTCTACGCAGCTCCGCCAGCTCGTAGCGCATCGCTGAGATTTCGTCCTTCCACTGCATGTTGAAGGCAGCGACCATGTTAGCAGACTCCTTAAAAGCCTGAATGGCCTGAGGGACTGGTGGCTCAGATGTGGCTATGGGTGAGGCAGTGGGGACCCTGTATGAAGGCGGGGTTGCCGGTGGGACAGAGATGGCTGTTATGGTGGAGCTAGTACTGTGCTGGCTGCGCGCAGCCGCAGTTTCTCTCTCCAGCCTTTCCAGCTCCGCATAGGCAGAGGAGCTAGCACCGTCATCATCCTCTATCATGTCTTCATTTAGTAAAGAAGTGCCATCCAAAACATCATATCCCTCTGCAAGAAAAAATGTGAATATGCAAGAAGAAGGACATTGAAAGTGAAAGGAACAGCTGGAGAGTGATTCGATTTGGGTTCTGAACTACAAAGTAAACACATATCTATGGAAAACGTACAGTATGTGAGTGACAGAATAGTTTAGACTAAATATGTTTGGTTTGGTTGGAAAAATATGAATAGGAGGAATTTAAGTTTTTGACAAACAGCACCGGCTGGTGTGCTGTTCAAATTTGGTTTGAACAAACCAAGAGGTAACTGAGTATAACTGTTTGAACAAACCAAGAGGTAACTGAGTAGGACCAGAATGACTTTTTTTTTTTTACATCTACCTTTAAACATAGTTTAAGCTTTTATTTGTCTTTAAACTCACATACCATAAGCTTTGCATCATGTTTTTACACTGCCTTCTCAGTCATCTCAAGGCGTCTTTTCATCTTTTCACTGCACAGCACAGCAAAAATAGTGGAATTAAAAAAATGAAATGCATCACTTGAGTGGTTACGTTGGTTAATTCATCTTCTTTGACCCCCTTTTCTAAAACCAAAATGCATTTTTTTTTCCTGAACCTAAATTTATGCCATTTTTGTGCAAAAGAAAAGATGTAAAGGGAGTAGAGAAACCACAACCCACTGGGCCAAGAAGCAGATATGAACCCTATTGAACATATCAGGTCCAAGATGGCAGAGTAGACCATATGGAGTCAGTAACCCAGTGAGGGGAGGGGTCACTCCCCTCTTCAGGGCTGCACCAGGAAGAGGCTGCAATCCCACAGTCAAAGACAGCTGACAGACTCAATGCAAAAGGCTTAGACTTAACCTTGTGTGGCCTTTTTTTTTCTCTTTGTTTTTTTTTTTTTTTTTAATTTTCTAAACGTCAAAGGTCAAACATGTACAACAGACAGATGCTGCTATGACACATGATTAGAGACGATGCGGTAACATTCACTGCTACTTTATGGTTACGGTATGAAAACATTCTGGAAAGTTTGAGAATTATATTTCTCATACATTTACACTTAAAATGTGGTTTGAGAACACTTAAAATAGTGACATGACAAACAACTCACAAAAGCCAGAATCACATTTATCACCATTATTAATTCAAAACATTTGAGCGTTTTTTTTTTTGTTTGTTTTTTTTTTTTTATGTGAAAAAAAAATGTGACTGAGGTTTTGTAGGTTGTTTGTGTTCGCTTTTAGGGCAACAAAGATAAAGTACTACTAACTACATTATATATTCTCATATATATCTATTTTTATTGAGAAGGCAGTGCAAAAACACACATATACATAGATATATGTATGCGTGTCGACATTAAAATACCTGCAACAATCATCACTGATGCCTCCAGTTGTTCTTTTCCCCTGGTTATCCTTCAACAGATGGATGGTCAAATGGAGAGGGGTTTGCTGCTCGTCTGTGCTATGGAGCATTGTGGGAACCCTTCCCCACCCAGGGCCCACTAGCCTCATATGCTTTTTTTTTTTTTTTGCTTATGTGTCAATCATAAACGAAAAATAAGAAATTTCTGAATAGCAATGATATCTTAGTTTACGTAATTAATCTAATTCTAAAGCTCCTATTCGTTTAGAATTGTACAGGAGTACACCAAAGGAAGAATATTATTCGTAGAATCAAATATGACATTACTCGGCTTTAACCAGTGACCATGTAGGGCACCAGTCCTCTTTGTTAATTAATCATTATCTGCCATACTGTAATTGAAGCATTCTGACAATCCTTGAAATACAGGACAACATATCGTACGGTCGTTTGGACCATTTAGAACTGACAGATTGGGAGCAGAGAGCTAAATGATTAAGAGTTCAGCAAACAAGACGGTGGGATTGGAGAACACTTCTTTATCCTCAGCACTTCTGTCACAGCAGAGAAGTTGGAAATGAAAACCCAATTTTGAAGATAGAGGAATTCCAAAAAGAAAAGTCCAGATTAAATAGTAGAAACAGATCTTACAAAATGAAAAATAAAACGTCTCCATTGATAAACTGACAGAGAACAGTACAAAAACAATAAAATTCCAGCTCAAAAAATGTTTTTAATGCATTATTGTTATTACAAAAAGAAAAATGTTTCAATAGGGTTCATAGCTTTACTCTTGCAGGCAAACACCCAATGCACTTAGTGAGGAAGTTAGTGTGAAGTCACTGCTTGCACAAAGAACCGAAGATGTTTGTTGTTTATATGGTGTCACACAAAACTTTGTTTAAACACCGTGAGTTCCTCTGACGTGTCACGTGTCGTGGTGAGTTACACCACTGAAACAGTTACAAAACAACACATTAGTTTTACCACGAATCAGAGTTTGTCTCTGTTGATTTCTTGACCTCATTTGACAGTTCCACTGTGCAAGCAGTTTGTGTTGTGTTTCTTTTTTTTTAGAGAACGACTTACCTTATAATGGTAACAATATATATATATGTATATATATATTTCTTTCCTAAATTATAGCATCATTTGCATTGCATATGTCCTGTGTTTTTTTGCATTAGAACAAAAGGACAACCAGCTGAGTGCATGTCCACTTTGTCCACTGATATGTCAAAAAGCTGTCCCTGCTTGACTCCTGGCCCATGTTTAGCTGTAACCCTCACACAACACAGAGAAACACCACAGTTTAACATGCTCGGGGCAGGGCCTGTTCTACTGGGCATGCCGTGTGATGTGACTGCTGTGTTTTATCACATTTGTAGCAGTTCTCCCAGCTACCCACTCCTAACCCGGTCTGCAGCTGGACAACACCACAATATCCAACCAGAAGCTGGACTGATGATGCATGAATCATGCAGAGTAACTTAAAGCAGCACCATCTGAACAATCAAGAGCCAGAAACACACACACACACACACACACCGAGTCTCCAAAGAGAAGAACTAGTGACCATTCAGCCTGGCATCTCTAAAGCTCCAGGGTTCCCCACTGTACATATTTAGGTATGTCAGGTACGTGCGCATGTGTAGGATGTATGAGGATGTGTAGTCTAAGCCCTCTCTCTTTTTTTCGGGGGGGAGGGGGGCATTATTTTTTTTTACCTGTTGTGGATCTGAGAGTTGAAGTGACAGTGGAGGATGTCATTGAAGGCAAGCAGTCGTCATCTTGGGAATAACCAGCCTGAATTGCACGGAGGTAACTGTGGCTTCGAGTTCGGAACGAACCAGGCAGGTCCAAGGCCTCCATGGCCTGGGATTCTACTTCACTAAAAACGGACTCGCAAACTGACTCAAACTGGCCATTGACCTCAGTCTCACTCACCTGAGAGACAAAAACAGGAATAGCAGTCCTTAATTTTTCCTCTTCCTTTCTCTTTCTCACTCTGATTCTTCCCCTTTGCACAGCAAATATGAAGGAGTGTTAGCATAAGGAAATGCCACAGTCACTTCCGACCTTGAACTGAATAAAGGTTTAAAATCAAATTAGAAAAAGGGTAGATGACAACAGAAAACAAACAAAAAACAAACAGTTATTCATCAAAGTGGTACTGGATTGTTCTCAATACTGAACTGCATCAAACATTTTTATCTTTTACCTTATTTCTTGCAAGACTCTAGGTCATATTCTTACTCCAGATTAGTCATTAGAATGGAACTGAAGACGATTTAAGAAAGTATGTTGTGTGTAGAATTAACCTTTAATTCTAGGTATATCAGAGGAGATCTGTTTTCTGTTGTTTGCTGTTTCTTTAAAGTACTATCAGAGGAGAACTGGGTTCTGGGTTCTGTTGTTTGCTGTTTCTTTAAAGTAAACTAAAGTCTTGGCACTGCTACGTTATTGAGGACAAATGTAGAGCTCTTGTTTTTTGGGTCAAATCCTTCATGTTACGTCGTCGTGTGGTGACTCGATCGTTGGTGGAGTCTCGGATCTTCTTTCTTTCTGCAGTCATGTCTGTTGTCTTTAGGATTATGGAGGTCCAAAAAACAGACTTCAACAATTCATCCAACCTTACAGTGTCTTAACAAAGTGTGACGGCTGAAGGCCTTGGTGTGTGTGAAGTGACGTTAGGACACCTAGCTGTTACGTTTGTGGAGCGTGTGGTCTCACTTCCAACATCATGGTTGACCCGACTAAAGCCTGCGTTGGTCAAACGTTGGTTTACCACCAGCTGAGGTACAGTGAGCGAAGAGTGTTTCATAAGTGCTCTATTTCAGTCATTATCTGGCCAAATCACCAAACACACTCTCTGCTGTGTGGGACGGTTTCAGAGCTGGTCAACATCAATTCTGAGTCAGTTCACTTTCAACACGGACACCTGTGGACGTCTCGTTGCCATGCCATCAGTGTAAAGCTTGTATACACAGACATTATGGTTCAAGTTGTGCTGCAGTTTGTGTGCAGTTTCGGTTTGTGACTCACCTGGCTTACGCAGCTAGCCTGACTGAGGGTGCTGACTGCGCGCATGTAGCTCTGGTTGCGAGATCGGAAGGGCGGGGGGTGGAAGGTGGTGGCAGGGTCCAGCGTGACACTATGATGGGGCCGCATGTCTCTGGTTTGCAACTGGTAGCCGTGGCTAAACAAGGAAAGGAGTTAAGGCGGGCAGCATTGACTCATTCTTGTCTCCAACTGAAACAGCCTGCTGGTCACCAACTAGAAAATGATCAGGCGATGACAAAGCCTTTACGGATGTTGTGTTTATCTAACTTTACTCTAATGTTGTGGCCTCAGTGTCCTTGTATATCATTTAGCAGGCAGCCTGACCAGAGCTGAACAAATTATTTAGATTTATTATGGCTTTGTGTCAGCGTTCCACCTTTAAGGCACAACGTTGAATGACTGTGGCGATTCTTCTGCAGCGTTGTCTTGTGGGTTGGGATTAGAATGAACCCTCGCTGCATGTGATATGGCAGGCAAATATTGGACTAGTAGATGAAAAGGTCACACACCCTGGAATGGAATTGCTCAGCAGAGTACAAATCAGCACGAAACTGATCTCATTCAACAGTAACATACCACAAACACAGTGACTGTTGCCTGAGGGCAGGTAAATAATCTGACTTTTACTGTTTAGTCTCAGATGATTTTACCATCGCAAAAGTGTTTCTGTGACTTTGACACCAGTTTTTGTCAAAGTTTCAACGCACAGTTCTGGTTTCTGAATAATATCGTTAACAGTGCGGCGTTTTGACCTTAAAAATATAAATATTTTTGAAACCAACAAAGTCAATTTCCAGCAAGCATCAAAAGACGCTCTGTTTTCCTTTTAGTCCCTTACGGTGTTGTTCTGCAGCTACGCTGTGAACAAGAGGCAGAAGGAAGAACAAGAACAGAGTATATCCACACTGTCCAGGGTTTTTTAAGGAGCCTGAGTGTTAGCGTCATTAGCACTGCCGCACAATGATAATAACATAATAATACATAGTAGAATTTGACAGCCGTCAGTTTGCATCAACGTACAGCATCGGCCGGGACGTCGGCCTTACCTGTGTGGGTCAAAGTGGGGTCTGTGCATTGCTGATTTGAGGACGAGCGCGTCAGGGCGAATGGCTTTCTGTGGGGATGTCTTAGGACTGTTGTCAGAGTCAGCACTTTCATCATCCACCTCCCCCATAGCTTTGACATAACTGCTGCTGCGCATCCGCCGACATGGGATCTCCTCGTCTTTGTCGCCAGGATACCCACACCAGTCATCCTGGGGCACCTGCGGCAGAGAAAAACATGAACGGTTTCAAACACCAAACATGCTTCACCTTTGTAACTGTGTTCAACAATGGATTAAAAAAAAAAGTTTTTGGTCCGTGTCGTAGTGCCATTTAGCCAAATTTAGACAAGTACAAAAGGGTTGCATGTCCTTGGTTAGTTCCCTCACAGAGAAGTCATCTCTTTATTTCATTCATCTCTTGTTCTGGGTTTCTCAGAATTAAACAGCTCAGAGTTTAACCTCATGCCACACCAGAGAATCAGATTCCCTGGGTTCCTCAAAGTTAATACAGACACAATGTGTGAGTAATCATCAGCACTATTGAGAACGCACACTTTTTTTCTCACTTTTTTAACACCATTAAATCCATTGTAGAAAATAAAACACAGTCATTACATAAAAAATATATTAACCACCATCAAAACAGTTTAAAAAAACACAACTTAAATAAATTGAACCTCATGGTTGACGGTGCTAAAATAGGTCTATAAAATGTACTGTAAATCTCTCTCTGATTTAACTACAGGAGTGGAATCATTAATTGGAATCTAAATGTGCATATTGTCATGTCAGTATTTTGTTTGCTAACATTTTAGAATTTTTTTCCATCCCTATTCAGAAGAGTAGCGATTGTCCAATTTGAAGCGTTCTGAAATAAACTGAAAAACGTTGTAACCAACTGCACTTAACACGATGGCAGCTGCCTGTTTTATCAGCGCCCTTTAACAAAATAAATAAATAAAAAAAGAATCATGAGCTCTTTATTTAAGTGCAGGTAGAACCAAGCTGTAATAATAATAGGTCTCTTGAACCAATAAAACACAAGGTATTTGTGCTACATTTTCAACCCTGTTTTTAACTTTTTTGGTTAAAAACACCTCTGTTATTTAATATGTGTTGTCTCTCAAACAGCGTTTTTGAAATATCACTGTAAAACTACAAATGCGTTCAACGCAGTCGTGATGGAGCCCCGACTCCGACGCCACTAATTTCCTCAGCGTGACGTCTACTGTACACAGGCACCGCCACGTTCCGCATTTTTAATTAGTTTCCTGGTTTTATGGTCAAGTAAACTGTAGATTTACTGAACAGAACGTTGACAAGGTCGCTCAGAGTCAAAGCTAATGTATGCACATAGGGAGGTGCATGTTAATACAACCACGGCCTGCGGTTGGCCTTTACAGTTTCAGGTGACAAAATTAAACTAATAAACAGTGATTGATCCGTTGGCCGCTGATGGAACGCCCTGTGTCTTTACAAGGTGTCACACTCTACGTGGTCAGGAGCAGCATTGATCAGGTGTGTTGTAAGTAACTCAGTCGTCGTGTCACAGTAATAGTTGTCTCAGTGGACGGGACCGCAGCCTCGGGCACAAGGCTCTCTAATTCACTTTGTCAAATCATAAGGCGGAGTTGTTTTTACTACCACCACGGCTGAGCTGTTTTCACTGACGACAGTGAAGCCGCTACACTCTTATCTAAAGGTCAAGTCGTGTATTTTCTGTGTCATTGCTGTTCTCCTGTTTCCACTGCTGTTTGAGCCACACATTCTGTGCTGGTGTAAAACGGAGCTTCAGCCAATCCAGGTTCATTTAAACATTTTGGTAGTTTAGAAAAATTAGTACGTCTATGTCACGTATGCACAGTGACCAGTCTTGGTACTTGCACTGACCGACTGTGGCAGGAAAGAGCAGAAAAGATATGTAGGGAACATTTTCTGGAAATTTTCCCCAAACACAGGATGAGTGTATTGTTCTTCTCCTGACACCTGCCAGCAGGCTGGTAACCATCAGGAACTGTCGTTAACAAGGCAGCCTTCACTAGTGGGAGGCCTGTCTTAATTATCATAACCTAATTTCTCACTCATTTGATGCTACGCCTGAACAAACATTTTCAGCTGTGCCCCTGAGGAGGCTCAGGATACCAGCAACTCTATACCACCTATAAACAATAACAACCCCGGGGCAAATCATCTTTTTATGAATGAAAGTGACTTTTGTAAACCAAGTGGCAGAGTTTTAGTAGTATACAAGACCTGACATCAGCCAGGCACATCCAGCACACAAACCCCATCAGCACACCAAGTGTTAAGTGCAGCGTCTGCGTACTGACGGCCACGTACTCATCGTCCTGAATGAAGCTCTCGGTGTGGACGTGCTGGAGGTGTTGGTGGCAGTTGTAGAGCAGAGAGGCAGAAACATGTGAAATGCCAGTGAGAAAGGCCTCTGTATTGACAGATTGTCTGTGTATGTGGCGTACAAACAACCCTGTCTCTGTTTGTGCCTCCGCTCAGCAGCAAAGTAAACACCGTCCAAACAGCCAACCTGTTCTGTTAACATGTGCAGGACAGGACAGGACAACCCCCCTCCACCCCCCCAGACCCTCCTTATTAAGTCTCATAAGTTTCAACAGATCAACATTTAAATTCACTATTATAACAAAAAAAAACACAACAGATGGTAAAGTGTAATTGCTTTGTGCATCAGTAAAACCCTCTGTACCCTGACTGCAGAAGGCAGCAACACTGTAGCCAGAATGATAGAAGATAGAAGACCAATATTATGTAAGAATATGGATCATCTTCAGGCAGTTGAAGCAGAGACCCGTCCTGCAGCTCTTTCTGTTCCTGTTACAAGCAGCAGAGCATTTTATTATAGACTCAGGCCAAGTTTTCCTCAGAGAACAGTATTGTTGGGGGTTGGAGCGTTCAAAAGCACAAACATAAGGTGTGAAGTCGGGCCATAAATGCCTCAGTAAATTGCCTTTGTGCTCTACGGTTCAAACAAGGGGACTTCTTTTTCTTTTTTATTTCCTTGTATATAATCTGCATATAGTCCAAACTGTCAAACAGCAAGTTAAATTACTGACTGGTTTTTGTGAAGTAATATTTGACTTGAAGTCAGAGTCTGGTGTTGCAGGAGCTCTGACTGTTTAACGTTTTAAAGCTCGACTTCATCCAAAAAACATACCTTGTATTATAGTATAAACATGTACCATGGTTTCTAAAATAACTAGTCACATTTATAAAGCTGATCTGCATGTGGAAATCCCTTGGCAGTTACTGCGTGTGAAGGTTTCTTGGCTCTAATCCCAATCCAGTACTGTTTCTTGACTGTGGTCCAGCTCAGGTAAACTTCTGTTCTCCACGTCTCACACTGAAACATCAATTCACTCGATTGATCCCTGCACTTTAATAGACAACAACTCCCCCGGGGTGACAACACGAGAGGTAATTCTGGTTAAATATATCGGCCCCTCAGACTCACAGACACTCTAACTGCCCTCCAGAGAGTCACCAAAGAAAAGCCGGATTCAAAGGCTTCTCTTCTTCTGGCAAAACCTCCCATCAATATATCAATCGCTGCGTTTCATTCACAGTGACCTCTCCATGGTGCTGATCTCTGCTGCTCTGGCCTTGGTTTATTCCAGTTGATTGAGACTGTTCAGAATCCATAACTATAGCGTAATAGTTGTAAAAAATGATTATTTATTCACGTTATTATGTGAAGTTTTCTTTAGGTCATTAAGAAATAAAGTAAAACAAACCTGCAGATAGTGGCACGTCCGTGATGAAGGCTTGAGATCCAAATGCATGATGGGTTTTTCCAGATTCAGTGATGACTTCCTGTAGGCCTCTTTGGCCTGGCTGACCGTTAATGTTGACCAGGAGCTCCTCTTCATGAATTTCCCCTCGGGCATCATTGCCATGCTCTCGCAGGCCGAGCACTTGACGTCGTTGTTACTTTTCGAGGTCTTTAGTGACAAATCCCCAAAGTGGTGGCCGTGCATGGACTCTGGGTAACAGTGGCTGACGTGCTCCCCGTGATGTCGTGACATGACGCTGGGCGTGCGGTACGTGCTGTCGCTGTCCAGATTGTCGTCAGAGCTCCACCAGCCTCCAGATCGGTGCTTGCGTTCTTTGCTCTTGCTCCTCTTGCTTCCATGCTTGGTGGAGTGATGACCGTGATGGTAATAACTTCCCGTTCCTCCTCCACCTCCCATCATATCACCTTTTGTGCCGTTCATCTTCGATGATCCCTCGAGGGAGTGAGACTTGGTGAAAAGCTTCTGGACAGAATGGACGAGGTGTCTGATGCGGCCGGGACTCTCGCTGCGTTGCTCTGTGGTTGTGGACGTGCGCTGGTACTGTAACGTGTGGAAGCCGTCTCGGTGCAGTGGCAGTTGTTTCTCAAACTGGTCTAAAAGATTGGCGGGAAGGCGGTTGCTCTTGTTGCCGGCGTGGTGGGAGGCGGCGGCGGCGGCTGCGG